AGAGAATATGGTCCTGTTTGTAGGAGGAGAAAATTGACTAACAGACCTGGATTTAAAAAAAAAAAAGTTTCTTGTTTGACTTGTTTAAGCTACAGAGACCATCATTTTGTTTGAATCTGCTGATTTAGTGTTTGAGTGCTTAATGCTATGCACAGACCTGCTGCACTGTGGCAAGCAATGTGAGGGTGAAAGTCGATAGAACAGAATGAAGAGAAAAGGCAGTGAGAAAGTGAGGTATGGTGTCAGTGAGGGCAGCTGGTGGTACAGCCTGCAGCCAGATGAGGCTGAAATCTGAGACTTGCTTAACCACAGAGGCAGTGGAACGGAGGGGGCAGAGAGAAAGAAACACAAGTGGGAGAGCGAGAGAAGGAATGTCCACCTAAGAAGGGGAGCGAAATACGCGAGCTTGAGGCAGGCAAAAATGCAAGAAAGTATACAGACTTGTACATAAACTGTCTGTATACTTTCTGTATGTATATTTTCAGGTGCAAATAAAATTTGTCAAGTGTCCGCTGTTTGAGGAGAGAGGGTTATGTGTTTGGGTAGGGAGTGTCAGGGGAGAGCGGGGAGGGTGTGAGCGAGGCTGCTGTTTGGACTGACATTGGATGCCGGCTTAGCTTTGCTCTCTGTCTTTCTCACAAACGCACCCAGCAGCAGCGACACCAACCACACTCTTGGACGGAGAGAACTTCGCTCAGTGAGGGAGTGACTTTATTTGGGACACTTTCTTTGTTTCCTTCTCTCGCAAGTCTTATCATCTTAAGAAAACAAAAAAGCAGAGCTTTTTCCTATCAAACTTTTATATATATTTTTTCTACCTTCCAACTCAAGTACACTGGACAGGATTTGTTTTTCTATCAAAATCACCCCTGTTTGACTGTGGGAAATGTTCCTCCCCCCCCAGCAAACCTACAATTTCACAAGGTGGTTGTTGGATGCATTTGTACCTGTTAGTGCTGCAGTGGTGTAGTGCCAAACAGTTCCTGAAAATTTGGCACCAGGAGAAACAAAGGTGGAACTTGCTAAAGGATAATTATCCAGTGTTGAAGAAACTCTACTGTGAGTTGGCTAAACTGCCTTGCTTTGCTGTCTGTTCCTGTATTGACCGATTAGGGAGAAACAAGGGAGTGGCTGACTGACCACACACCAACAGACTGCTTACAGACTTGATTTTCAAGGTTTTAATTTTAACAGAAAACAAATCTGATGGTTTGTGTCGAAGCATTGCAGTGAAAACATCGGTGACCTACTTTTTTTGTTTCGTTTTTTCCTCTCTCTTTCCAGCCTTGGCCACTCTGTTGTGCCATCTCCTCTGAGAACTCATTTTACCAGCTATTAAGGATCAGTTTGCCTCTCTGGACACAGTTCTTTCATTTCAGCTTACCCCAACCCTCATGAACTTGTTCTTCTCAAATGGGTGAGCAGGAGGATGAAACATGATCCTGTGTTTTGTCGTGTGTTTGGGGCAGCAGTAACACTGTGTGGTTTCCATGGAAAAGGCCAGAGAAATATGGCGCAAAGGGAGCGTATAAATGCTTTACCTCTATGTCTGTGGTACAAGTGAAATCGAAGCCAGCTAGTGTATCGCTGCAAGCTCCACCCTGGAACTCCTTGCTCAGACTCTTCTCATGTGTAGCCACAAGGAGTGTGCACAGGACTAAAGGTATTACACTTTAAAACGGTAAAGCACACAAAAAGCCCCCTCTCCTCCCCTCATCATCGGCTCAATGCATTTGTCCGTGTATCTGCAGGGTAAGATGTTGTACAGTAGTGTAAATTCTAGTTGTAGCTTTGTTAGCATCAAGCTGACAAATTGATTGGCCTTTCCGTTGCTCGAGCGTAGCTGGTGAAAGTGTGTTCTGTATGTTGTGACAAAATGTGCTGAATAGTTTCTTTGTGGGTGAATACAGAGGAGCCTTTCAGCAGGCGCCGCATGCGTGCATTGTGAATTACACTGTTATAGTGTGTATGAAAACTTGGAGTGGGCCACTTAAGAACAAAGAACGGCATGTTTGTTGAAGCCTAGCTTGTTTTTGGCCCCTCCCTCTACTCATGGTGTCTTTTTCCCACTTGTATCTCTTTGCATTCTTGTATTCCCCCGAGTGCTTATTTTCCGTATACTTCAACTTTTCCTGGCTTCAGTGTGCAGCATATCTTAGCTTCTCTTAGTGCCCCCCCCCCCTTTTTTTTTTTTTTTGTGTCCTTCTGTTTTCACATGTACCTGAGGTGCTATGTAGTTGTGTTTGTTTTGTCTAAAGCAAATGGCTTTATAAGGCTGCAGATTAACCTAAAGGAAATGTTGTTTTCATGATGCCCACATGGTGATTTCCGTTATATCAGATCCTGTCAATCTGGCATCCATTGAGAAAGTGAGAAATGAATTAGGCACTCTAATCTAAAATGGTTGATGAGACTTGGTTCCTTGTTAAGTGTTTTATAAGTAGAAATACAAATCTATCTAAATTGATTGTTCTTTCTTAGCATGGTGAAAGCTTTCGAAGTGTGCTCATCCATTAAACTAACAGTGGCTAGATTTACTAACAACCATGAGTTTGTTCCCTGTTGTGCACAATGAGATGAGCCCAGGCATATCTGAGAGCAAGAGTCACCATTTAGTACTGAAGATGAGAGCTACTTCAACAACCTCCAATAAGGACACAGTACTTTGCAACATGTACAAGAAAACTGTCCAGATTAACCTCCTAGGACCTGCGTCCACATATGTGGACATCACATTTTGGGTTACTTAGACCAAAATACTCAATTTTGCACTACAAGGACCTGATATCCACTTACGAGGACATTATACTCCCACTGTTCTATCGAAATTTGAAACAAATATCCTCATATGTGGCTCTCATTTTAAAAATCAGGTAATTCTTTGTTTTTACATTCATCGGGTCCCAATATGCCCAAATATCATAGAGAAATTTAAAATGCATGCCGTGGAAGAGTTCGGGTCTTAGGAGGTTAAAGGTGTAAACGACAAGTGTTTCTCCACCTTTAGCCAGCACAAATACACTGAAGGTGCAGCCAGACTTTAAAGGACGAGAAGCTAGCAGCCGGTGACTTGGGACCGAAATGTAAACACACGACTCACCCAGCGTGGCAGGAGTACTCACTAGCTGCGCTTCATATGACAAGAATAACAAACAGTGGATGCAAATTACTGATGTGGTTAAGCAGCTGGTTTGAATAGCTTGACCCAACATCTGAGGTACAAACTTTATTTTAGTTTAAAATAACTTCCAGAGCATTCTCAACAGTCACAGAAGTTATTGTTAAACAAATATGTTTTACCTGAAGTATCTAGGAACAATTTCACCTAGGTTACTTTTGTGCTGCGTCACTAGATATAATACTGCTTCTCCTGGCATCTTGTTTCAAAAGATTGCCTCTTCAGTATCCGATCTTTGAGTGATGATTTATCAACCCTGCTTCCGGGTCCAAACTACACTGCATTTATTAAGGCGGAGTGGGGAAAAAAGTTAGCTTCACTGCTAATGTGTTTATATCATGCTAATATACTGTAGCTGTGTAGCTACCCACCACGTAGCACATTATTATATACCAGCTAGCCCAACTTCAGTAACCCTACAACCGTCACTGCTGTTTAGTTTTCTGTCTTCATTTATGTTGGAAGTGATAACAGAGCTGTACGTCTTAATTTTTCAGAAACCCCTCAGTCAGAACATGCTATATCATGTTTAGGTGGAAACTAACAAGCCAACTTCCTGCTTGCTTCTAACTCTGTTAACCTTCATAAACTCTGTTTTCATGGATGCCTGGATGTTAAACCTATTTGTTACACCTGGTAAAGCGGCCACATTGATCATTTTATTAAAGGTGAAAGGATTTAGACAGTTTGTAACTCTCAGTGATGCCGTAGTGTTCATTTGACTCATTTAAAAAGGATTGAAAATGATCTTTTATTTAGTTGCAATTATAAATGGTGCTGCCTGCAAGCTGAAAGTATCAATAAAATGTTGTGACCAGCTTTTTGTCTGGATTATTCTATATTGAAGTAAAATGGGCATGATATTTCTGGCCATATCGACATGATAATTTGAGGCGATATCACCCACCCCGAATTACAATGACAAATGTGCACTATACCAAGGGCAGAATGAAATTTTCTCTGGCAGATGGCAGCTGTGTTTTGAAATGTACATATGTGCACAGTTTAGCCCGCATGCAGTCACCTCTGTAGAGGATCACATTATTATGACCCAGACACAATGGCTACATGTCAGAGTTGTAACAGAGGCACTGACTGAACAATACTGGGGACATTGTGGAGTAGGGCAAGACGGCACAGTGTGAATCAATTTATTTATTTATTTTTAAATATATAAAGTCTCGTGCTAATGTATGGTGCATTAGCAGCACAGTGAGTGGCTTAAATGCCTTGAAAGGCTGATTGTAGTTCGTGGAAGTGCACTAAATCTGCTGTGCCCCTCCTGATCTCCTATAGCCAGCTGGCACCATTTTAAAAACTAGACTGTCATGATGGAAATCCAGCTTATCGGACTGACTTGAGCATGTTATTAAACATTGTTAGAAATGACAAAGCCAGGCTTCATGTTTAGCTGGTGAAAAATGTGTGTAATTTGGTGTACTTTACTTGATGGTTATTATTCCTGTTATATGGTAGGAACATTGTTACGGTGGGATCGGTCTGAACCAGTATCCCTCTAGCTTTGCTTTTCTAACTTGTGTTTGTTTACTTTGCTCCCTTTTCTTTTTCAGAGGTCCCCACATTTCAAGAGGAGACGAAAGCCTTATTTGGAAATCTTATGGACGAAGGTGTGTATTTTAGTTTTTCCCCCTGTTCATCTACAGTTATAGTGCTTATACCAGTGTTTCCAGCAGGCTTTTTAACCGTATCTATCCTCATTCCTTTTGTAGTCCTAGCTACGGGGTGAGTTGTTTCCTGTTTTGGGAATTTGGTGCTCTTAATTTACTTCACTTGGACAGCACCTAACACACTGTCTAATGTAACACATGGAGGGGTATGCAAGATGACTTTTATTTCACCTTTTTGTCAAACGTGCACACACTACTGTGTGATCGCCTATTTTCTAAACAGAACATTGCATAACTTTTCCCTTTTTGTGCTTCTCCTGAACACAGCAGGCTGTGTGCACAGTCATTGTTTGTCTGTTCTTTCTGTCATCCTCCTGTCCACCCTCTCGACACAGTGCAGTATCTCTCTCTGTCTGGTTAGCTGACTCACTGTTCCTGTCTCTTCAGTCTCTTTGCGCACATGATTTTTACCTTCTTCGCACACCTTTTGCTGCACCCTTCTCGGTAATGTATAATTTTGCTATAAAGGAGAAGAGTCATCCTGAATTACTCAACAGTGTGTTTCGATATTTTTTATTTTTTATTTTTTTATAATTTTTTTTCCTTGGTTGGAGAGGTGATAAAGTAAATTCAGGCTGCAGAAGTCATTTCTAAGCCACCTGCTAACAACAAAAGTTTGCTGCTTGTCTATTCTTTTCCTTTTTCTTGGGAGCAGCACCCCCTTGGCCTCTCATGTGTCAGCTAAACAAGTGATGCTATGTTTATCCCTCCACACTCCATTTAGCTCTGCAGCTTGTTATAGCCTTATATGCCGCAAACTACTTATTGTTTCATCATATGTATTGTTCAAGCCAGGAAACTACAAAGGAGAATAATTCAGTATCCTTTAGTCTGGTTTGTTGGTGGCATTTTGTGCTAAAATTCCAGCTGTTGTTAATAGTAATCTCTATAATATTACCACTATCAACACAAAATAGCCCAATATCTGCACTTGGTGTGTGTGTGTGTGTGTGTGTGTGGGGGGGGGTGTGTGTGTGTGTGTGTGTGTGTGTGTGTGTGTGTGTGTGTGTGTGTGTGTGTGTGTGTGGTGGGGGGGGGGGGGCAGCGCTGCTTCTCAGCTGCTAGACTACAAAACCCTTCTCCCCCTTTTATGGCCCCTTGGTTGAGGTCCAGTGATGATCTATTTCAGTAAAGTATGTTGAGCCATACATTAGTTCTGTTCAGTAATGCAGCCAGTTTTCTTCAATAAGATGGTGCTGCAGTGTACTCTTGTGTGACAGAAGCGCTAATCAGCCACGCCTTAAGCGCACAGACGTCCTTTCACAGAAACACAGCTGGTAGCTGACCTCCACATTTACCAAAGTAGTAAGTTCACAGTTGTCCTTTTTTCCCTTTCCCCACTCTCACATGAGCGCATGAGGTGCATGGCACAGTTGTCGGATTGAACAGAACAGATTCTACATTGTCATGATCATGTTAAGACTACATTCATATGGCTCTGTTTTATTTCGGTGTGTTTTTGTGGACACCAATTATTGACAAGTAAACAAGTTTTATAAAGGTCTCAATAGATCTACAACAAATGACTCTGCAGTTATGAAGAAACTATTGTCTTCAAGCATAAGCGCTAAGCTGGTGATGCTAACACATGCTGGATATTTCAGTCTTGCCTTTGCAGAAAGTCCTGAGCTAATTTGGTCTCGCTGTTCCTGGTGCTGTTGCTAGCATGTTAGCTAGCA